ATAGAATCGCCAGCAGCTATATTTTGACACAACATCAACTTCAAATGGCTATATCTCAGTAATGAATGCATGTATTGGCATGCAACTTTCACTATATGTTAGGAGAGAATTTGTGTATAGATATTAAAACATTTATAAAATTAATAATTAACAAAATTAACTAGTTGTAAAAACTGAAGTTTAGAATGAAGGAATTTTATTTGTTTTTGAGCAAAAATAAGGGTACGTGACGTCATAAGACGTTATAAAATATCAATACAATTTATGAAATAATAATAATATATTTCAGATGTCCTTCTGTAATATTTGGTCCTCAATATGTTTGAACCTAGAAATAATCCTAAGACCCCATAAAGTATATATGCATGTTCTTTTTTAGAATAAAATTCTATGTCGATTTAGACATGTCCGCCTGCCTATGCGTCCGTCCGCCCGCTTGCCACGATAGAGCTCTCAATGTTAAGGAACCAGATTTGAAATTTTGTACTGCTATTGGTAGGATTTTTGGCATTGCAAGTGAGATATATGGGTCAAGGTTTTGTCGTAGCTCCCAAAAAAAGTCCGCCCAATTGTCAGTATTTTAAGGCTTTTGTAGCATTTTCCAGCCGATACACAGTAATTTTGCATTTTTAGGAGGCTGGCATATATCTGTGCAAAAACTAATCATTATAGGCCCACCCATATAAAGTGCCGTCCAATTTTTAGGTATTTTGAGATTTGTTACTGTATTTTTCAACCGAAAAAGTCTATAATTTGCAGGAACTGATCATTACAGGTCTATGTTTCGTTATTTTAGCCACATATTCCAAACGACAAATTGTAATTTGACATTGCAGGTTCTAATAGATAAGGTGGCCATACGTCCTTTTTAGAGGACAATCATGAATTTTAACTGGCTGTCATCTATAAAATGTATGTCCCTTTCTGTCATCGATTTCCACTTTCCAAGTGACCTATTATATGTGTGGGGTATAGAACAGGCTATCCAAGTGAGCTAGTCCCCTAGTCTATATTTAACAAAAAAAAAAAAAAAATAGTCGAAATTTTAAATATTTTGGAACTTTGACAAAATGCTATTTTTCTCTTATATAACATAAGCATATATAATTATTTTCAATATGGAATAAAGCTTTAGAATTCCCCCCAACCATATGTGCAAATTTTTTGAAAATCGGTTAAGTAGTCGCCGAGTTATTTGCATTTGAACTCAACCATGATCCGAAATATACCTACTACTCGGTGCTGGGCGCCTATTACCTGAAAATGAAAAATCACCTAAAAATGGATTTTTTAAAAGCGGCAAATTTACTTTCAAAAAAGCCATTTTTAAAAGACAGACTTTTGTACGATTTTTTTATTTTCAGGTAATAGGCGCCCAGCAGCGAGTGGTAGCTATATTTCGGAACATGGTTGAGTTCAAATGCAAAGAACTCAGCGACTACTTAACCGATTTCGATAAATTTTGCACCCACATGGTTGGGGGGAATTCTAAAGTTTTATTCCATATTGAAAATAATTTTATAAGCTTATGTTATATAGAAGTAAATTAGAATTATGTGAAAAGTTCCCAGATATTTTAAATAAGGACTAATTTTTTGGTTAAATGTAAACGATGCAGTATAGTCGATACTTCCAGAGTTATGGTGCATACCAGACAGATACACAAACGGACGCACGTACATTTGTAAATCCGCATCAATAGCTGGTCCTGCCGTCTCAAAATGGCAAGATTGATAAGAAAAATCAAGTTAGTTTTTAAATAGAAATAATTTTTGAACGAAGTGTGGTATTTGGATAATTTAAACGATTATATGCACATTTAGTGTCGCTGATTCTATGTGTGCCAAGACAAATTTAAAATATGAATACACAACTAGGATTATATTACAAATACTTTTTTCAATTATAATTTTGTTTTCAATGAAATACATTTTTCTTTTTTAATCCATTTCTCCATTTGTTCTCCCCCAAAATAAATAATAAACAAGTTTTTTTTTGAAATTGTTTGAAAATATTTATATGTATATTTTGTTTTTCGTTTTCTTTTAGTTTTTTGTAATTTTTAAAGGTAGGAAGTCATTTGAAAAGTACAACTACAATGGTTCTTTTTAAAAAAGATATATTCCTGGTTATTTTCTACAAATTAAAAAATATGTATTTAGGAATAGCAAAATTTTGTTTGTTTTTCTATATTAGAAATAAATTGAAATTTGTTGGAAACCCCTAAAAAATGTGTAATAATTATATATTAAAGCAAGACATGAAAATACAAAAAAAAAGAGAGGAAGAATAAACATTTGTTTAGTACAACTATGTGGTAATGAATTGGAACTACTCTCGCGTCTTAAACACGAAAACAAGAAGCTTAGAGAGAAAAAATACATTTACATAATAATTTTAAATTTAAATTGGGTTGGGTTTGGGAAGAAGACACTTGTCGTAGAAAAAAATGTTCGAATAACAAACAAAAATGAAGACAATTAATTTAAGAAAAAATACAAGAAATTTTCTTTAAGAAGAATTTTGTTTTTGAAAGAACGGGGGAAGAAATACAATTTTTTTTAAAGTTTTAGATTTTTTGTTTGTTTGGAATATAGGATAGTGGTTATTTTAAGGTTTTGTTCTTTATTTAATTTTGTTGTTAATTAGTAAAGATATCAGTGCTAGAGTTTGTTATATTATTTTTTTCATTTGTATATAACATTAAAAATATTTAGTTTTTGTGTTCTTTTTGGGAGATTTTCAAAGTGTATATTTTGGTAATATTTGGGGAGTGTTTATAGGGTAGCTCAATAAATGAATGTTGAAAATTTTTTGAAAATTTTAAACTTTGAAAGTGTCTGATGTTGAATTAACTTTGCAGTGGAAACAAATTTCGGTTTTAAAATGGAATTTGTTTTATATGATACCAATATCTTTTTTTAAAGAATTTCGGATTTCAAAGACAAACAATTCAAGGTTCGAAATAAAAATATTGTTTTTGGTTTCTATATCTCTATGAAATAAATGGACTTTTTTAGAAAAACATTTATAATTTTTTTTTTAAATTTATTTCAGACATACCTTATACCTGAATTTATAAAAATTGAATTTTTTGAGTCCAGTAAAGACAGAAATATTTAAAGACCACTTCGTACATTTGTTCAAAAAAAAATTGACTTTTTCGAAAAAGTAAAAATATTGAAGAAAATTTATAATTTCATAATCTCAAATAATATTTTGATGGTCAAATTTATTTTGAAGATTTATTTCAGTCATCCCTTATGCCTAAATTATAAAATTTGATTTTTTGAGTCCTGTAACGACTGAAATATTCAACGACCACTTGGTATATTTGTTCCAAAAAAAATTCAATGTAAATCCGATTATTTAGCATGAGTTAAGAATTAAAAAGATTTCATAGAACAAATATTGGACTTTTGAATTTTTCTGCCTGGGTTTTTCTTTATCTCTCATACAAATATTAATTGAATGATATTTGGAAGAGAATTTCAGGCGAAATTTTTTGGGGTGAAAAGTTTTTCTTTAATTTTCTATGAAATACATTTTTTCTTTTCAATCCCACATTAGCTAAATTTTGGATGGGAAAAGTTTTTCTTCGACAGATTTTATCGCTTCATTTCCTTTTCAAAAAATATAATTTAATATTTTTTTCTATACAAATGGGACGATTTTTTTCAACATGCCAATTTTAATACATTCATTATATTGTGACACCCTATCACACACCATCATAGCTACAAACATAGGGATTTTTTTTTTTTAAACATTAAGATTTTTACTTTTGCGGGACATACAGGACAGACTTTCTTGGTGACAGAGTGAAAAGAAAAATAAAACAGAACGAAAGACACACTTTTACAACGAAATGAAAACTAGGAGGAAGGAGACAGGTGATTACAAATATTTCCATATTGATTTATAACTAATATCCTATATATATATATATATATATATAATTATAGATAGAGGAGGAGGAGACAAGTCTAATTGGTTGTGTGACAAAAAAGGAAAGAAAAATAATAATAATAATGAAAAAAACTAAATTCAATAATTTAAATTTTATAAATGAAATGAAAAAAATACATATTACGTTTCAATTATATTTATATATAAACTATATAGATATATATGTATATTTTTCAATGTGTATGTATGTATAAAGTTATATAGATAATAACTATAAAGCATCGTTGTTTCATGTTGTTGTTGTTATGTTTTCTTTTTTAGTTTTTGTTTTATAATTAATTAATTATATAAATAATTAAATATGCTAAACTAAAGTCAACTATTTTATGTTTATAAAAAATAAAATAGTTAAATTAATTAATTAATAATAATTATATATAATTAATATATGGATTTAAAGTAAATATTACAATCAATTTATACAATAAAGGCTGGTTTTGTGTTCTTTTTGTTATTTGTTTTTTAAATATATAGTATTTTTTATTATTTACTAATATCCATTCGTATAGAACATTAAACATTTAGTTGATCTATTTTCTTATTTTGAAGATGAAGGGGAAACCACTATAAGAAAATTTTAGATTTTTATAATTTACAAAATCAATCCCTTATAATCATTTTCCCTTTATTTCTCTTAATGCTGTTTTGTGTGAACGTAATTAAATATGGAATCATCATCATGAATGGATTTCAATTATTTGTATTCCATAAAAAAACATAAATTTTGTTGCATATATATCTATTTATAATAATTTAACACATTTCAACATGATTTCTTTTCTTTTTTCTTTCTTCTTGTTAATAGATTTTGGTTTTTTCCTATTACTTTTTTTCCTTTCTTTCTTGACATCTTCATTTAGGCATTTTAACTTACAAAATTAAACATTGTTGTTATTTGAATATTATTATTAATAATAATAATTATATTTGTATGGGTGTTTTTTGTTGTGTACCTATCATAATAATAATAATGATATATAATAATTATATATCACTTTTTTAATTTTTTTCCATTTTTTTCAAATTTTTGTTTGAAAAAACTAAACACAGTAATTAATTATATAAAGGCTTTTAAGGCGTCTTCAGTAGTATATCTTTTTTTCGGGTTCGTGTTGGTGATGTTGCACCCAATTGTGCAGATGATGATGTTGGGAGGCGTTGATAGAAATAATTGCGTCCAAATTTCTTTTGCAATTTATAGCCTTTCCGCTGTAGGAACTTGGTTAATGTTTGAACATAACTGCTAACATCCTCTTGATTTTCTAATAAATGTATTGAAATAATTTCAATTTTTATTTTGTCAAAAGGTAATGTTTGTAAGATCTGTAAAAAGAGAAACAAAGAAAAATCGACACGTTAGTCATGAGTTGTGTTAATGATTTTTTGATACAAACAGAAAAAAACAACCTAATTAAAAAATCACTTTCATTTTTTGTGTGCTACTCAAAAAACTAAATAGAAGGTGGAGTAGTAGTTTAAGTTGCTTAAGTGCAAGGTAGCAACAGCAGTTGTAGCAGCAGCATGCAATCAACCACTGCCAATTAACACCACCAAAATAATTTCAAATATGTTTTTAGAGCAAGTATCCCAATAAATGTGCTATGGTAAGCAATATTGAAATGTCATCAGGTTTGTGAATTTTAAAATACATAGGATAATTGACTCCAAGAGAAGTATATAAAATGTTTTTGATAGATATTTTAAAATGTTTTAGGAGGAAATATGAAGAACTGCCGAAGGACAGAATTAAACCAGTGAGCGGAGCAGTATAGTCGGACGGGGCCGACTATACGATACCCTACACAACTAACACGAACTCTAACTTTCTGAGGATGTTTATTCCGAGTCTGAGTAATATTTCGTGATATTTGCCCCCTCTTGTCCGATTAGAGGTTAACAACATCTCTTTCTTACTTTTTTTCGAATATACAATACAGTCCTTCTAATTACTTGTCCAGATTACCTTCACGGTGGGTTGTGTTGTGATTTTCGGATTATACTCTACTTGAAAACACACAAAAAATATGTTTTCCGTCCATTTCATCCCAAAATTTTAATCTGATCATCACCGAAACTTGTAGGCGTTGTTCTTGACTATAATTGGAACTTCATGAAAAATTTCAAAGCCATCAGCGCGATATTTCTCCCTCTAATGTGGTAATGGGTTACTAAATAATATCTGAATACGTAAGCACTTGTAAATATTTGACTGTAACTCCCACATCTGAGTAGATACATCACTATATTTGGTATCAATTTAAAGGTCAACCACTCCTCTTGGATATGCTATCAACTCCTGGGGTCGACATCCTCCAGGAGTAAATATATATGCCATAGAATACAAATTTTGTCATTTTTCACACAAAAGTCAGGGTCCATTTGACCCGCTAAATATTGACCTATCTTTATCAAAACATGCATGCTTATTCTCTGGCCCGATCCCCTTCTCCATGCAAAAATTCGCGGCGTTACAAACATTTGGGGCTGCACAAAGCTATAATACCCTGACAACATAGTGGTGTAGGGTATAAAAAACGTAAATGATTTTCCAATCAATATAACTCAACACAAGTGGATATCGATATCTTTCCAGTAGGAAATATCAATGTTCTACTTTTATAAATAACAATAAACAGGTCAATCACCGATCATTTTGATTAGGAATTGGTTACGGTCATATAACTTTTCAACTCTTCCTTGAATTCCTTCATTTCTGTTGAAGATCTAATGCTCGGTATTACAATAAATTCGTAAATAAGAAAGTTTATCATTTTCAAGCGCCGAAACATCAAATAAACAAGCAGTAAAGGCGGACGGGGCCGACCATATGATAACCTACACAACTACCACGGAACTCGAACTTTCTGCGGATTTTTATTCCGAGCCTGAAAAAATTCGTGATGACTGGTCCATAACTGTGGCCTATATCGTATTTACTAATTATAATGGACAGACGGACGGACACACATGTCTATATCGACTCAGCTAGTCGAGATATGACGATCGGTATACTTAAAGGTGAGTATAGGACCAAGATTTCGCGGCGTTACAAACTTTTCGGGCTGTACAAAGCTATAATACCCTGACAACATAGTTGTGTAGGGTTGGGGTACCGACAGATTTATACCTTTAGCCTAAGTAAGGTATATTTTAAATATTTTAATTCGATTATTCAATTCTCTTCGAATAAAATTTACAAATTTATAAAATATTAACCCCGGAAGTAGTGGACTAATGGGTTCCACCTTCGGACTTGGTCTATGCTTGGTAACGATAATAAGTTTTGCAAACTTTGGTTTAAATCGGAAATTCCATTCGCCTGATATTGGATTTATAGATATTGAAAATGTTAACCCTTTGTGTGGGAGGTACCAGAAGGAGAGGACCAATGGGTCCCATCTTCGAACTTGATCTAGGCTAAAATATATCTACATACACTAAATTTCTGTAGGTATTTTAAAGTTGTAAAATCGTCTGTGAATCGAAAGCCTTTTACAGTGCTATAAGAAGGTCACTTATATTTATACTCAGTAAATGGAAGATTCATACAGTTTTCTATGGAAAAAATAACGTTTATTGGCAATATGTAGGTCTTGGATACCGAGATAACCCTGTACCGAACATATCTCTTGAGAAGTCCCTCTTTAAATAAGATTTCTTTGAAAGAAATTTCTGTAAATACATCTCCAAAGGGATATTTCCTTAATTACTACAGTCTACAAACACAACGCCTAAAAGTATGCTTTAGTATATACACTGAATTATACTCGCTTTTCACACATTATAGGGCACACAAAAGTCGTGGCAACCAAATCTAAATTTTCTACTTTTTTTTTGAATTTTTGGGTATTTTACAACAACAAACACTTACCTCCAACTCATGACCATGCACGCCCAAGCTAAGAAGATCGTATTCAACACGATTTGAAGCTAGCATGATTGTATAAAGCGGAAAACATTTGACACGCGAATTGAACCATGTCGTCTCCTCGTCAAGCAGACTATTAATTCGCACTTCAGACTCTTCGTTGTGTACAGTAATCTAAAAAACCGAAAAAATAAAATAATTAGTTAACAAATCCATATATATCATAATTTTTAAAAGGAATATTACCTCTTTGGGATAAGGATTTGGTGAAACACACGCATGTACGACTTGTACACGTGGCCTCAACCCATTCTGTTTACGCAATGTAAAAAACCGCCGTGGCTCTGGTTCCACAATAATACCGGCCCAATTTAATGTATCCGACAGCCAGGGTGCTGTCATTAGATGACCCAAGGAACCGGTTAGGGATTGTATGACGGCACCATTTGTTTTACCCTGCAGTAAATTGGCCACATAATAGGCCATTTTTGGTGTTAATTCATTGGGATGGGCACTGAAATTGAAATGTGGTTGGACACCGATTAGGCCACCGCCCGGTGTACCGCCATTACCCGGCCCCAGGGTGGAGGGCGATGATGGTGAAGTTTCAACGCCGCCGCCATCCGTTCGTGTTTTCAAAAAGTGCATTGAATATTTGCGCATATGGATTTCACGCAGGAATGCTATAAGTTGAGGATCGTCTTGAGCCACGCCATAGAATTCATAATCACGCGACATATTCAGGCGAAATTGTTGATGGCGAATTTCTGTAACGAAAAAATAAGAAACCAACAAATAAATAAAATGCAATGCAAGTTTTAATTAAATCGACAAACAACAATGAAAGAAACGAAATTACAATATTGAGTTTGATTCCATCATGATGATGTTGGCGGATCGCAATCATCACATGATGTATGTAGGTAAATCAACTTCGTTTTAGAAATTGGTAAGAGAGGTGAGAAGGGGTTGGTGGGTTTTACTAAGGTGGTAATAACATTATGACTACCAACTTGTAAGATGTTTGTTTATGAGGGAGGGAGAGTTAGATCTTTTGTTTTGCGTCTGATGGTCGGGTGGTCTTGTTGTTATGTTCGGCCTGTTGGTCATGCTTCGCTGGTCAGTTTTATTTACAAAATAACGACGAAGCTCTAAAGATGAAATCCGTCTGAAAAGATGTTTATATGGTGATGGCCTGTGTTGCTTGCTCGTTGTTTTGCATTTGTTTAATTATAAACATAACCACCACAACATGATTGGTCTGAACTGAAGTGAACTTTTTCTACTAGAGATTGGGTTAATAAAATAGTTTTTGTAATTTCTCTCTTAAAGGGGGATATGTTTTTCTTTAATTTGTGGAGAGAAGAAACGCATTTTCTATTTTAAAAATAATATCAAATGTATAGAATTTTTGTCCAGAATTAACATAATTCAGCTGGGCTGAATATGAGATTTTTGGGATAATATTACATTCTGCTCAGTTAATAAAATTTTTTCTTGGCAAATATTCAATTCAGCTGGGCTGAATTTGACATTTTTAGGATTATAAAGGGGGGAAATGTATTTTTTAATTTGGAAAAACTATGTATTTAAAGACAAATATCAAAATTTAGCAGGGCTGAGTTTAGCATTTTTAGAATTATAAAGGAGAAATGTATTCAGCAGGGCTGAATTTAGCATTTTTAGGGGTTAACATAATTCAGATGGGCTGAATATGGAATATTGGACATAATATTATTCAACATATTGTGCCCAGTTAATATAAGTGTTACTTGGCAAATATTCAATTCAGCTAGGCTGAATTTGTCATTTTTAGGATTATTACATTTTTAAAACTTATACAGAATTCTATGAACCAGAATTTAATGTTTTTGGAGAATTATATACTCAGAAGAGCTGAATTATTTAAATTTTATTCTATTGTTTCAAGTAAAAATATTAAAAATATTCCCTCAGTTCAGAAGATTTGAAATTACTCTTTGTTGGAATTCATTTGAGCTGAATTGAAACATTTTCCTTACAAGTTGGCATTACATCGTTTAAATTGAGAAAGCAATAAAGAAAATACAATTCAGCTAGGAAAAATATCTAATACTAAGCTGAGTTGACATTTTGGTACAATTTCTGTATTATAATATTTTTCTTTATTGCTGTATGGGATTATTTCTGCTGAACTGAATAAAGATTTAGATAAAAAATATAATTTTTGTTTCAATGAATTTAAAAAAAATTGATTTATTCAGTAAAGAATTGTCAAATAGAAGTATTTACATGATATAAAAAACATTCAATTGATTTTAAATCACTCTTAGTTAAAATTCAATTGAGCAGGATTGGATTTTTGAAGTTTTACTAAAAAATATGTAATTCAGTAAGCTGAATTGAAACTTTTTTCTTAAATGTGGGCTATACGTGTTTTAAATTGAGAAAGCTATAAAGAAGACACAATTCAGCTAGAACAAAATGCATAATTTAAATATTTTCAAAAGTGTTGAGTTAATAGTAAACTTCCTCTGATACCATGGGGAAGTAGGGGGCATCTTTTTTCCCTACTATGTATATAATTATACTATTCACCAAAACACAATTCGAAATAAAAAGTAATAACAATTTGAAAAAGAAGAAGAAAAAAAACAACAAAAACAAATATTTTTTTAGCTAATTATTATCATTATTATCTGTTATAGTTTTGAAGCTCAGGTGGTGGCGGTGGGAAGAAATGAGATATGAAACAAAAAACTAGCAATAACAATGCCAAGCAAGTGCCAAAAACCAAAAAAAAAAAAACCTTCAAAATTTTAAGGTGTGTTTTGACATAACATAATCACCCAGTAATAAGTCCGATATGAGATTGGAAGCCACCGACACCACAAACGATGAAATAAAGTAACAACAATAAAGCTCCAGCTGTAATCATAAAAAAATAGTTTGCCGGCCTCATAATGAAACTATTTGTAAAAAAGCCACAAGTGCAAGACATAAATTCCCAAACCAATTAACCATGGCCGGGCGGTGGATGGATAGATGATGAGGGTTACAGTTAAAAATAACCATATAAAAAAACTATTTGTAAGGGTGATCGAGAAGAATATAAATCAAAAAATCAGATAAACGAAATAAATTAATAGAAGAAAAAAATAACCAAAAAAATAATGCCAACTCCATAACATATGTTGTTTCATTTATATGCAAAAAGGCCGCAAAAGGAAAAAGTTTATAAATGTATCAAAGCTAAATCATCACCTGATAAGAGGCTATAAATAATACCATTTCCCCCATTAGTAGCTGTACTACTAATATGGTGGTGAGTAGGTGGTACATTTTTGCTGTAAATGTTAGGTAATTTAACAAATGTTTTGAAATGAAAAAACTGGTAGTAGGCCTTCTATATGGCTTTATCCTAAGGACACACATTTGTTTGTTGGCTGGAGGCCGGTGAGAAATAAAAAACGAACCTAAACAACCTTGGCCCCACCGTGAGTGTGTGTATTGGTGTTGTCAAGGGGATTTTCTTTTTTTGTTGGTTCTATCAGTTTTCTTTTTTTGTTGCTTTTTGGGTCATCATACAGTGTAATAGTTTCAAAAGGTGAAAGAAAATAACAACAAAAATAGCCAGTTCGTTTTTTTTTATTATTTAAACTTTTTGCTATTTGAAAAAAAAAAACAAAAAAATGAGTTAACAACCTTGTAACTGTCTTGTCGCCGCTCTTGCTTGACCAAAAACACTTCGAAACCTCAACTACAAAAAAATTGTAACAAGAAAACCCCATAACCATTAAACGGAATTCAAGTGAAAATAAACGAAAACAAGAAAATTTAAAATTGTTAATTTTTTATTTTGCTGAAGAAAACTGGGAGGGAAAATAATGCCAAATTGCAAAAAATAATTGTTTATAAACGGTTAATAGAGAAAGGTGTTAATAGTGACCAAATTTTCAACACGTTTACCGCAAATGTTATGGGTCAGTCAGCAGCAATTCCATTATGAAGAAAGTGATTATTTCAAAGGGCTTGAAAGATGTTTTTTCTTATGGAAATTTAAATCAGCAGTGCTGAATTCCAGTTTATTAATTGTATATAGTCAACTAAATTGGAGTTAAAGACTAAAGGGAGTTAGTTTTGGACATGCTGAACTTATTGGATGGTGATACAGATTAGGTATAGTTCGAGGATTGTATTCAAACAATAGGGAGATTCTCATAATAGGTTAATTGAAATGTAATAGGTTTTGTACAATTTTCCAGGAGAGACAAAAACAGCCAGCTACACGTGAAAAATTGGACTTAGAATTCCATTGGAAAAAAATCGGGTGTAACGTCGAAAATAATACAATGGATATACACAACTAGAAAGCTTGAAGAAACAGCCGAATTATGATCCTAAAATCCAATCACCTAGGCCCAATCAACCTCTTGACATTTTTAGGAAAAAATAAGCCTAATTTCTGCAATAGAAGGCAGATCAGAGAGCTATGTCAGTTATTATCTCTGAAATCAAGGAACTTTTTAAGAATTGTCAGTAGACTAGAGGTGGAATAGGAAAAACCGACAAGTAAATAAGTGTCAGTCGGTGTTGCCGACATTTACATATATACCCTCAACCTATAGTTAGTGGAGATTATATTATTCACTTTAAATGAGGTATATGTTTTTATCAAAGAGCTTTCGAATATAATATTTATAAAAACGGATATTCAATTGGCTTCAAATTTAATTTACAACTTAAAAAATGGCTCTTTGTCAGGGAGTTACCAGAAGAAGAGGTCCGACGTCTTGGTAAATAATAGCTTTGCAAAGTTTGGATGAAATCGGACATCGGAATCCTTTCACCTAATATTGAATTTATATACATTGAAAAATTTTACCCTTCGTGAGGAAGGTAGCAGAAGGAGCAGACCAATTAGTCCCATATAGGACAATCTATTTTATTCTTGGTAAAAATAAAAGGTTTTACAAAGTTTGGTTTAAATCGGACATTCATTTCGCCTGATTTATAGATTTATGATTTATAGGAGTGTACCAATTGGTCCCAGCTTAGGGCGTGATTTAGGCTTAGTAATGATAATAGGTTGTAGTGGACCAAAAGGTCCCATTTTCAGACTTGAGCTAGGCTTGGTAAAGTTAATAGTTTGGATTAGGGATAAGTAAATCGACATATCGATTAATCGAATTTTTGTATTGAAAAAATCTAAAAGTCGAAATCGACTTTAGATCGACCAGACAGTCTTTGGAAGCTCAAATTCTTAATTCGTGTTTTCCCTAAATTCCACATATATTTATTTTCTATTCGTTTCATTTTCATTTCATTCTCAATTCTGCAACGTTATTTATCATAATTAAGATATGTATTTTGGGTAAGTTTTATCTGGGTGTGTATTTGTTCCGTAGGCGTTTTCAGATGATCATTTATTTGCCTTAATGTTTCACCAGTTCACTCTTCGAACATTATGAAATATCGTAACAAAAACTTTTCTTCTCATATTTAATGAGATTAAAAACTGATATCAATATAGGTTTCATATTGATAAGGTTTATTACAAACATTTTATTTAGTGATAATTCCCAGAAGTGAAGCTAAAACTATTCAACTAATCGGCGTATTTCACTCTTTTAACTAAGACATTCGAAATATGAAACCCCATCACATTTGTGGAAAGGTGTTCAAAACAAACTAATAAACTAATTTTCGATATGTAATCAATGCTATTCAAAACTATTTTAATGACGTTTCGAATGTTGAATGAAATCAATGCTGAATGAATGCTGTT